TAAAGACCTCTTGAGTCACCATGTCCATCCCTAGCATACTGTTCTGATGACCAGATGTGTTACCATGTGGGAAATTGTTGAAACTCTCAAGAGTTTTCAGAAGTGGTTGTATTGCTTTTCAAGAACATAAACAATGTGAAATAAGTGAATATCCAGAAGATATTGGTATTGACATTTTCAGTCATGACTTCAGTGACTCTAACTTTGCCCTGTTATGAGTACTGGTTATATATGCAAATTAGTGAGCAATATTACATGATTTAGATGTTATTTCTTAAGTAATAGCTGACAGTCAGCCTCCTTAATCTAAATGCTTCAGAGAGGAATAAACTGGACTAATGTTTTTTGAGAGTAGCTTTTTAAAGGGGGCAACTAGGTGGCGCAGTGTATAGAGCACCAGCCCTGGATTCAGGAGGACCTGAGTTCAAATCCAGCCTCAGACACATAACACTTACTAGCTGTGTGACCCTAGGCAACTCACTTAACCCCATTGCCTAACCAAAAAAAAAAAAAAGAGTGGCTTTTTAAAAAAGATGTCCTAATTTCTTAGTCATAGCTATATAGCTTTTCACTGATGCCTTTGAAGACAACATTTTCTTTTTACCTCTCTTAAACATTTTTAAACATATTTTATATTATATTTACTTGGGAACTTGTCTTTTTCTCCTTTCTAGGCTAAGTTCTTAAAGGGTAGGGCCTCTGTCTTATTCACTCCTTGATAGCTACTTATCATAGTTCCTTGCACATAATAGGTACTCAATAAATATTTGTTGAATTAAATTTAATTGAAAAATTGGCCTATCTGATTTTTAATATTTTTTTTTATCTAGTTAAATAAACTGTGCAGTCCACTTAATCAGTTGCTAGTTATATGATGGAAAAACAGACCTAATAGAAATAACAAAAGTTGAAATTGAGTATTTAGGAAGTGTTGTGTTTTTTCTTCTCTGCTCCCCCAATTTTGTAACTACTTTTGATGTTATTTATTTAAATTCATTTGAAAATCATACTCTTTTTACTTTCCATTTACAGGTAAAAGAAAATAAAATCAGAACAAAAACATGAATGTATATTTCTATTTACAAATTGTTTTAAAATGAGCATATTAACTTTAATACAATTGTAACAGAATTGTTTTAATGACTTCTCTTGGATTTATTTTTTTTTATGTTTATTAGGGGTTTTATTGCTGTTATTCTGGTTATTGTTTACATTCCCAGTCCAAATTTAATAAATGTTTATTGAGCCTTTACTACATGCAAGGCACTCTGCCAACTATACTGTGAAATACAAAAATGTCTCTGACCCCTGCCCTCAGAGAAATTTATACTCTACCTCACAGGAACTTAAAATCTTTAGTAGCAGAATTTCTGTGGGACATATACATTGTCAGTAACAATAAATTGCTAGTAAATGCAACTGCAGCATTAAGAAAGTAAAATCAATATAATTCTGCTCCTTGTAATTATAAAATTGTATATCTGTATTTTAATAGCACTTTTGAACTTTAATGATATGTTCAGTTAATTTGGAAAGTGTGATCAAAATAACATGACTTGTTAGCTAAAGAGATATTTTCACTGGTTATCAAAATTTAGAAATGTTGAAACATACAAATATCACAAGAAACAGTGAACAATAACATGATGATTATTGAGAGTTGATTATGAAGTATGAAGCTGAGGAAGCAAAAATAGAATGAACTCTGTGATCATAGAGATCATGTAGGGTTGCTTGTGAGGTTAGAAGCCATCTAATACAGTTTGCTCATTTGACAAATGAGGAAGCTGAGAGATGAAGTGACTTGTTTAGGATCAAACTTCTGGTTAGTGACTAAAGTAGGATTTAAATTTAGGTCTTCCTGACCCTTAAGTCACTATACGATGATGGTAGACATACTTACAGAAAAGAGGCAGATAAGATGAAGGAAATGAAGAAATATACTTAGAACAGAGTAAATAAATAATAAGGAAAGATTTAATAGTTAAGCATTCATTAAGCACTAACATTTATTATGTACACCAGACCCTGTGCTAGATGCTGAGGATGCAAAGAATAAAATGATCAATACTGGCAAGATAATACTAGTGATTATGCCAGAAGCAGAATCTCTTGTTAGCCTATCTAGACAAGCATTGCCTCAAGGAAAGCTGTTTTAGATGCACTAAACAAAAGGAACAAAAGAATTGCTAGACATTTAAGTTTATGCATCTGTCCTTTATGTTGTGCTGTATCAATGTTTTTCGGTAGTAAGCCATGAATACAATATAAAAGTCCTTCCATATTCAGACTTAGTGTACATCAAGTATAATACCAGTACAGTGTGCAAACTAAATAGTTAACATAAAGATCAGCTTATACTTTTTGAGTCAGTTTAATACCCTGGATTTTACTAAAGCTGTATTTTGCAAAGTGAGATCTGAGAGACTATTTATGGAGGTGCCTAGAATCAGAAGCTAGTGAATAGAAGTAATTTGGAATCTAAAGTAGTGAAAGTTAATAGTAAGGAATACTGCCTGAAGGAGATATTTTGGAAGGAAAGGAGGTGGAGTAGGCTGCTTTTGTCAGGTGAGATTAAATAGGCTGTTAAGATACTATGAAAATACTAAGAAAATAAAAATAAAAGTACTGTAAAATAAAAATAAAAATAATAAAAACTGTGATGCCTGAATGGAGAAGAAATTAAGAAAACTTGAGATGGCCTTTGAAATTTAGGCATGTGGTCCCTGAATGTATGTGGTCCCTGAATTTTCATCCAGTACTAAAAACTAGAATAGAAAAGGTTTTGGAAGGATTGCTGTCAAGTATTTAGTGTAGATTATATTCTATATAATATAGTTCATTATATAATATAATATGTTCATTAGTTAATTTGTAAAATTAATTTGGAAAATAACCTAACTAGCTGAAAGGGTAACATATATTGAGTAGTTATCTAAATTTATAGATGTAGAAATGTAAATCTGAATATTATATAATCCAGCAAATAATAATGTGGTGGTTATTCTATTTTACTAAGAATTGGTTTTGAAATATAAATTTTAATAGTTTAAAACTGTGCTAAGACCTGGAATAATCTCTCTTTCATATCTGCCTTTGTCTGGGCCTGTAATATCACTGGTGTGAGAAACTCAGTGATAAAACCCCATCTAACAATACAGATCTGCAATTGCTCTGCAACCTAACAGTTGCACAGCTGCCCGGGGCCCTGAAAGGTGAAGTGACTTGTCTAAGTTCACACAGCCAATATGTGTCAGAAAGAGCTTTTTATCCTTTATATTCTACTACCTCTATTGTGTGTTCAAGTTACAAGGCTAGGAAAGAGTAAACAATTTTTAGAGGAGCTCTATTCCCAGGGTGAAAAATCACATTTTATCTCAGTTATCAATTCTGATTTCAAAATGTACAATTTCTATTTACAGTGTTAATTTGGAAAAAAGTACTCACCATTCAGTAAATCTTTCAAATGCGTTGATATCAATCCTTACTGGACTCCTACATGTGCTTTTCTACCTTTTTTTTAAGTCCTTATGTTGCTATCAATTCACATTTAGTAGGGTAGAATGAGTTGAATAAACACTTGTGTCTGTTGAGAACAGGCACTGGCTTTGGCAATTACTACTCAGAAATGGATGAATAGAGAATGGTGAAACACTGGCACAATTCCAGTGTGCATGTAAGGTTTGTGAAAACTGGTTATAATCATGTTTACAGGTTATAGGCTAGGTAAAATATTCTGTATGGAAGTAAAGAATTTCTGTTTTGACCAACTAAACTTATGTATTTGTTGTTAGTATTTTTCTTTAAAAATACTTTTCCTTTAAGTCTGTACAGAATGTCCAATTTTAGCTTTAAGGGCTAAGAAAATTATGTAATATGTTTGAAGAAGTAGTTTCTATATTTAAGGAAACAGATTCTTTCCTTGGTCGCCTTTTTCTTTATCTTCTTCTTGGCTTATTTTTTTTTCAATCATTTGTAATTGTTTTAAAACACTAAAAATGGTACCCACGTGAGATTATTAATCTGTTTTATATTCATAGTAGTCTATAAATTTTTTTAAAGTGTCAGCAAAAACAGGGCAGCAGATGAAATTTAGAGTTTTAAAATATTTTAAGAAACCAAATCTATTTCAGACATTATTGCCTGTTTTATGTCTGAAAGTAAGGTGCAGATTTTGTCTTTTATTAGATTAAGATCTGAGTTATAAGCTTTATTATTTATCAGCCAGATATATTTTGAATTGTGCACACGCACACACACACACACACACATGACCATGGTCTTGAATCATGTTTTAAGGTTTTAATTAACAACGTACGGAAACAATGCTTTTTTTGCCCTGATTTTAAGTAGCGGTCTGATTATTACACTTCAAATAGAAATGTGCTGTTGATGAAGGTTATCTTTCTGTAGTTATTTGTGATATTAGCAAATTTAGATTTCATGCTTACGGTTCATTGTAAAGTAATGTAATAAATTTTAAGTTTGTGGTTAAGTTAATTACTCCATAGCTTTGTATATATAGTATCAAACATTTGATATGGCATCGTAGAATATGGACAAGGACTAAATTTTTTGTTTTACACGAAGCCAAACTTAATGAAAAGACAGCCACAAGTTTTTAAATATGATCTCCAAACAAATTTATCAACTAGCTGCTTCTTGTATTAGGGCTTTCCTTGCCTTGATAAGTGATGAGAGAAAACTCAGTAAACTTTTTTTGGGGGGGGTATATGGAAATATATGCAAAATTTTATAAAATGGATCCTTCATCTGTAAAATGAGGAGATTGTAATAGATAACGTCTGTAGATTCTATGATCCCATGAATTCTTGGACATCTTCCATCTTGTTTGATGTCATTAATTTTCTGAGATAAGAATTCCTGAGTGACAAGAATCAGTTCTTATTTTCTACTTTATTGCTTATTATACACTATAACTAATTGGTGAAATAGGCATGTATTGGTCATAACATGATTTTGGCTTTATTTGTATTTAGATGGAATGTGAAGCTCAAATAAAGAAGATACACCTATTGACAAAAAATAGCCTGGGAGTGAAAGGCATACTCCAAGACAATCAAGAAAAGGTACTTAAGTTTAAATAAGTAAATTTTATCCTAAGGATTTCTAAAGTGCTAATAATTTTAAATGAAGATTTTATTGAAAATAATTTGTTTCAAAATACATTTTGATTAAATCTTAAATGAAAAAATATTAATGACTGAATTATTGCTTTCAATTCTTTTTAGATTTACTGAAAGACACAGTTCTGTTACTATAAAGAACAAAAATCAAAGAAAGGAAAACTGAATGTCTTTTGGTCTACCTTTTGATTTCCCTAGGAAACAATGATTTTATAAACTCTAAAATGTGTTCTAAATGAAAAATAAACAAAATGTACTATTTTGATTCTTGCTTTGTATTTATAATTTTGTACATTTTGACCTTTTTCACAGAAGTGAAAAAATGATTGCATATCTAAGCAACAGACAAAAAGATTGACAAGGAATACTTAAATATATTCTGCTATATATCTGCCATAATGCAGGCTTCTAATCCTTCTTCCTATCTCCATATAAATGATACAGTTCAAGACCATAGATGTTTTCTTCACTAAAAGCAGTAAAGCTCTTTTAGATGAAATGTCTAAAAACATCTTGTAATAACTTGGAGCATGCTGGCAAGAGTAGTCACTTGTGACTATGTGTGAAACCCCCTCAGCTAGTCGATATTATAATAAGCAAAAATGGTAGCATCACTCCATTATTCAGAAAAGCCAACAGCATGCTTGTCCCTTAGGCTACAGCATTCATTAAGAAAAGCTTACTGGGCTGAAAGCTGGAAACAGATGATAACGGGATATGATTTTCATATTTAATGCATTCCTTGGAAGAGTATGTGTGCTGCAGATTGATAGAAGAATCAACTGCTACTTTACTAAAAGACTTTCTAGTTTGCCCTATAGCTACCGATGGAATCATTCAGCCAAGAAATTAACTTTTTCTCCTTTTACCTGCTTTATATATCTGCTAAGCAGGCTGCCTGGCTGCCAGTAAATGTTATTATGCAGTTAGCTGTTTGGTATTTAAGACTCTTATCAGAAAAGAAACAGAGGCCACACTATTTTGTTTTTATAGTAGAGGGAAGGTTTCAGTTTTTCTTTCTTCAGTGCATTAGCAGGCATTAATCTCAGTTTATAGGAAGTTTTTTTCTTCCCCCATAGATTAAAAAGTTAAAAACATTGAATTCAGAGCATTCTTTAAACTATAAGATACAAAGCAATGAACTCTGGCAACCTTGACCTATCTAAGAAGGCCTTTAATGACAAATGATTCATATTCCATTAGATGTACACAAAATAGGATATGTAGTGTTGGACTCCTGAACCATTGAGCAGGCTTTCCTGTTTGTCATTTCACCATGAAATAATTGACATGTTTTAAATCTAAATCATTTTATTTCTTCTCAACCATTCTGGATATACGTGTTCTTAGTATTACAGTGTCAACGACACTTAAAATGTGGGGTGGTTTTCATATTTGCGATCTTGAATTTTTATCCTACCCAAAAATATACTTTTGTGTTTTTCATTTTTATGTGTATATCCAATATTTAGCTCAGGATCCAGCATAAAGTAGTTTCTTAATAAATGCATATTGATTGATTGATTTCTTACACATATTACCACTAACTTTTTTCAAAAACTGGAAGCAAGTTATTGTAGGTTTACTTGTTTTGGAGCAACACATAGGTGTTCACATCCTTTAAAATGTTTTTACAGTTAGAACAGGGTGGTTTTTATTTATATTTAAGAGTATCTTCTCTAAAATTTTCTGAGTAATTTTTTAATCCTAGAATTCTGAGCCAAAATAAAAATTGAGCCATATTAACATCTTAAGAAATTCATATTTTAACTTTTCAACTTGGACATATATTCAGTTTTTAAATTAGACATATTTAATTGAAATAACATATTATCTTTGGGGATAGAGACTAGATCTTTGATTTCATTGGTATAGAGAGTGCCTAGTGAGAAAACTCCTTTGAACCAGCACAAATCTATGCTTTCTCTGCAACTTAAAGTCTTAGAGAATTGCCTGAGAGGTTATGTGACTTACCCAAGGGTCATAGAACCAATATGTGTTAGAGGCAGGACTTGAACCCAGGTTTTCTTGGTTTTAAAGCTGGATCTCTACTAAATGCCACACGACATCTACATGTTGTTTATTAATTTCTGAACAATTTCTTGAAGTACAAATTGTATTGTTTAAATTTTAGACTCAGTTGGGTAGCCATATTAATTAGCTCATGATCTGAGTCTACACATGACTATCTTTAAGGCACAGTATAAGATCTCACTAGTTCAACTAAATTCTAGCAGAGAAAGAATGCATAAAGTTTTGTAGTAAATGCATGTGGTTCTATAATTCTGTGGGGAATATGACAGTAAACATGATACAATTCTTGTCCTCAAGAGGTTTATACTCAAGTAGATGAGATTAGATGTAAACACAAATAGCTACCCTCTATGTAAGTAAGTAATGCTATGAGTGGTATAAAGAGCTTTAAAAGTTCTGAGGAATAAAAGTATACTTCTGGTGGAGGTCATTAGGAAAGCTTTAAAGAAGATTGCATTTAAGCTAAACACTGAATGATGAAGGACTAGGATGTTCTTGGCTGGGGGGCAAAGTTTCAGGGGCAAGAAAGTGCAAATCATCCAGAGAGATGAGTAGTTCAGTTAGGCTGATGTAGGAAATTGAAAGCAATCTCTCCTTTTTCTAAAATCTTTTATTAATTTATAAATCTCATATGGTTATTTCTCACCCTCTGCCTTGTGATTATGTTGTACATGTTAGATTAGATTGTAATCTTGAGTGCAGGGATTTAATTTTATTTGTCTTTAGAGGGGTAGTCAGGAGAGCTTAGGCGTTAGGGTAAAAGGATGAAAACGATATTCAGAACTTTGATTATTGAATTAGGATTTGGGGAGGCTTATTGCCACTTAGCAACAAATGCTTCCTAAATTGACTTTTTTGGTAAATTCACAGCCATACCAGAAAATGAAAAAACAATTCAGGCACAAAATTTAATGTATCTGAAAGCAGATTTGTTAGGTAGAATTTTGGTATAGTCAAGTGATTCTTGGCATCAACTGGGCAGGAACAGTTGCTAAAGAGCCACAGAGTAGTCTCAGTATGGGATGTTTCTCTAGGGCTATGAGGAATCTATGGCTTTGGACCCACAGTGTGGGTACCAACAGCTAGCATTCAGATCCTCAAATTTCATGGTGGCAAAAAGTCAGGATATTGATATTTCCTTATTTATAGAAAGGAGTCTTGTTTCCTTGAGCTATGAGATTTTTGTCAGATTTTCCTGTCTTCTGACAGGAGTATATCATGTGAGGCTTATGGAGTCACAGGCCGAATGTAGCAATTTTGGGAACCAGGGTCTGTAAAGAGACATTACTATCTACCCAGGTCCATTGGAAGAGGGAATCTTTTAGATGTGCACTTTACCTGTGACCTCATAGCTTTTTGTCAAATGGTACGGATGTGGAGAAACTGTGTCAATCTTAGGAATTCATGTTTAGTGATGAACAAGGAGCCACTTGGGCATTTTTTAAACCAAAAAAAAAAGTGTAAAGAAATACTTTTATGTAGGTGTATGGGGGGAATATATCTATCTATCTTATTTTTAAATTCTTTGCCACCACAAAAAAGAGCTGTTATACATATTTTTGTACAAATAGGTCTTTTATTTTTTTCTTTGATCTCTTTGAGATAACAGCCCTAGTAGTGGTATTGCTGGGTCAAACAGTATGCACAATTTTATAGCCTTTTGGGCATAGCTCCAAATTGCTCTCCAGAATGGTTGAACCAGTTCATAACTTCACCAGCAGTGTATTAGTGTCCTAATTTTTCCACATTCCCTCCAGCATTTGTCATTTTCCTTTTGTCATGTTAGCTGGTCTGATATGTGTGAGGTGTCTCAGAGTTTTAATGTGCGTTTCTCTAATTAGTAGTGATTTAGAGCATTTTTTCTTGTGACTATGGATAAGCTTTGATTTCTTCTGAAAACTGCCTGTTCATATCCTTTGACCATTTGTCCACTGGGGAATGGCTTTTGTTTTTAAATTTGACAGTTCCTTATATACTTGAGAAATGAAACTTTTATCAGAGAAACTTGCTATTTCCCCCCCCCCAATTTCCTGATATCATTTCAATTTTGGCTGTATTAGTTTTGTTTTTGCAAAAAGCCTTTTAATTTTATGTAATCAAAATCATCTATATTACTTTCTGTAATAAAATCTATCCCTTTGTTGATCATAAACTCTTCCTTTATCCATAGATGTGACAAGTATGTTTTTTCGTGGTGTACCCTAATTTACTTGTGATATCACCCTTTATGTCTAAATCATTTATCCATTTTGACCTTATCTTAGTATACAGTGTGATATATTGGTCTATCCTAGTTTCTGCCAGATTGCTTTCCAGTTTTCCTAACAATTTTTGTCAAATGTTGAATTTTTACCTCCAAAACTTAGATCTTTGGATTTATCAAGCACTAGATTATGCTGGTTATTTACTACTGTTTATTGTGGACATAATCTATTCGCTGATCTACCACTCTGTTTTTTAGCCAATGTCAGATTGTTTTGATGATTACTGCTTTGTAACATAGTTTGAAATCTGGAACTGCGAGGCTGCCTTCCTTAACATTTTTATTTTCATTGATTCCCTTGATATTTTTGACCTTTTTTTCTTCCAAATGAATTTCGTTACTATTTTTCTAACTATGTAAAATAATTCTTTCTTGGTTTCATTGTTATGGCTCTGAATAAATAAATTAACTTAGGTGGGATTATTATTTTTATTATGTTGGCTCGACCTACCTGTGAGCAATGAATATTTCTGCAATTATTTAGATTTGTCTTTATTTGTGTGAAAAGTGTTTTCTAATTGTGTATTATCCCCAGGTTTGTTTTTGCAGGTAGACTACCAAGTATTTTATATTGCAGTATTTCAGAGCTTGTTGGAACCAGGATAACATTAACCAGACATAGGAATATCTATAGAACATTATTATC